TCCCGGTTTGCCTCCTGGATCCAGACAGGATTCCTCCGTCATGGCTCTGAGGGACATCTCGGGCCCCCCCAGGAGGTGTGCTGCGCGTGGAGATGTCAGTATAACACATATTGGGCGTCCCGAGGGAGTCTCCGGCCTTCGTGGGGTGGTCGGGGAATGCCCCTGATCAGCAGGGGAGGGGGTTGTAAATCATGGAAACGCAGTCAGGAAACGTAAATTCCTTTAAATGTTAACTCCATCTTAATTTTTAGCGCACCAAAAACACGGAGGGGTTTAATTTTGGCCATCACTCTATGTTGATGTGCTATAGCAAAAAATAGGTAAAACGATTTACCCAAAAATAGGTAAAATTGCACAAAGCTAGAGCTGTTCCAGGAATAGATGTGATTCCTCATTTATTTGTTTATTTTACTTGCTTTTTTAAGTGCCAAGACACGGGGAATGCGGAAAAAGGAGCTTTTAAGATACTGTCAGAAAACAAGTTCTGCTTTTGATTGCCTTAAAACTGGTTTCAGGCTTCAGTGGCTCCTAGGGCTGTACAGATTCTGGATTTGGTCTGTGCATGCTTAATATAGCTTGTGTTTTCCTTCACCAACATTACTTTTTGGGTCTCAGTTCACAGAAATGATGTCACTTGATATATCTGACAGTACTCAAGTCTACGCTGCATTTCTGGTGTACCTGGACCTCCTAGAAGGTAAATCATGGAATTGATTGGGTGGACATCTCAACAAATGTCTTTGCCTGTAGGAGCTGTTAAATTAATTGTTTATGCACTGGCAGGACCTTTCCTAGGAAGGCCTTGGTGCTCTTTCTGAAACTTCTGTTGCTGAAGGTTTTTATCCTGTGCCTACCTGGAGACTTTACAAAGATCTTATCCAGCACTTAGAGGTGCAGGGTTCCAGGGCAAAGACAGGCAGCATGGAAAAAAAAAAAGCAAAAGAGGAGTAGGGGAAGGAAAAGGAACATAGAAAGGTAAAGTTACAGGTTCAGTAGTTGGGCATAGAGTCCTCATTTGTCAATTAATGTGAAGTTACTAAATCATAGTGTTTCACTGAGGGTACCAATTAGTAAATGGCTGATGTGTGCTGGTCTGTTTTCTGGAAAGGGCAAGGATTCCTCTAGGACAGGAGATCGTTTGCAAGTGTGGTGGCAGTAATTTATAGCTGTGGTGATGTTATGTAATAATGTAGTGATTTATAACAAACTGTAGATGTTGTGCTTAGGGATGCAATTTAGTGGGGGACCTGGCAGTGTCAGGTCAATGGCTGGACTTGATTTTAAAGGGCTTTTCCAGCCTAAATGAGTCTGTGAAATCCAATGTAGTCTTCTGGTGTCTGCTAAGAGTGGAACAGAGTTATGTGATACATAAACTTCTGCCTGGATCCTTCCAAGTTGGCTTTATTGAAAAGGGACTGCGAGTAGGCAGCCAGCCAGCCTAATAAAAGTATTTCAGTTTTGCTTGGAGCCTGGTGGTTCTCAAGGTCAGGGAAGGGAGGGATTTTACAGGCCAGAAAGTGCTGTGTCTGTTATTGTTACACCTCTGAAGAAAACACTTTAACAGGCTTTAAGACAAGGTTTCTGTAATTGTGCAGCAAAAGCTTCAGCCTTACCCCTTCAAGCAGAAGGGAAGGGCCGTGTATTATCATGAATCATGTTTTTAGCACCTGTTCTTTCTCAGTTCAGGATACTGATAAAGTCCAGATTTGGATTGCAGTGCTGCAGATGACAAAAGCTGTGTGGTTTTATCTTCTTTTTACCTTTTTGGAAGAAAAGCTTTGTCAGACAGATCCCTGTTCACCATCTCTCAGCGGAGCTCTGGAGTCAGCAGGCTGGTACTGCTCTGTGGGTTTCTTTAACAGGATTGCCTCAGAAGGGGAGTTTGGCAGATGAACGGGGCAGTTTTCCTGTGAGGAGAGGGAGGGAAAACAGAACCTTAGATGTTAACTTGAAAGTTGTGTTTTGTGTCCTGGTCCTTCTCATCACTGACGAACCTTTCTAGGGAGAAACTGGCACGAGGTGAAGCCCGTTGGAGTAGCAGAACTGCAACTGGTGTGTTTACATGCACGTGCAAGAGAGCAGGAGGGTCTCCAGGTGATGGTGCCGGTGCCTGCCCACATCTTGATAAGCCATGAGAGGTGAGGATGTGGTCAGCGCTTGTCTCATGTTACCAGTGACATAAAATGAAGCACAGATGTATTTTACAGGCTGCTGATGGGTTTGTCAAGAGTGGAAGGGACGGGGGAAACAAAGGAGTGTTGTAGGAAAGCAACATCTCAGCCTGTGAGCAGAGTTAATTTGGATGCTGCAAACATACAGGCAGCTTGGAACACTAAAGAAATCTCAACTTTGCATCAGTTTCTGCCTCTCCCACTCTGGAAGTGGTGCTTGGATGTCAGCTTTCCACAGCAACTGATGCCTGCTGCTAAACACTTGTTATTGTTTAGAGCTGCATGTGCTCTAGGAGATAACAATGGATACCAAAGTATGTGTTTGAGAGACAAGGTTAGAGTAAAAGACCTTCACAGCTTATGTTTTGGACATTCTTGTGCTGATTTTATACTCTGGGAAATCTAGTGATACTTTTTGAGTTGCTGGACTTAAAAGTACCTAAGAGGAAAGAAATCCACTTGGACCTGTCTAAGAATAAGTTTGTTTTATTGTCAAGTCTGTGGATAAACCTTATGTGATTTGGTTTGCTTTTGTTTTGAAACTATACTTAGGCTACTTTCAATAGGAAATTCCTCTTACTTATCTAGAGTTTAATGTGTCTGTTATTTTTGACTTACTGTCCTTACACATGGCAGAGCAATTCTCAAGACAGCTCTGAATGTGTGATATTGCAGATATTTGCAGGCTAGAGAACTTCCACTTCAGTAATTTTACAGTGTATTTTAACTGGCCCTTAGAGCAGCTCAGACACATAATGGGATTTACACCTTGATAAAGACTTCTTTCTTTTGCTGGTATTTGCCAGTCTGCCCTGTGATGTCTCTGAAGACCTGGACTATTTCAGCAGCATAATATGGTTGTACATTTTTCAATTTCTTCTGTTTCTGCTCTTGGTAGGAGGTGGCTCAGGGCTGGTTTTACAGATCTTGCAGGCTTTTGCTGTTCCCTCTTGCTCTCTGGGCAGCAGCCTGACACAGTAGTAGGTAGCTAATTAATTACACTTAGTAGATGTGTGTGTGCACTCTAGGAATGATGGTTTTGCTTTTTTACTTTTAGGTTTTAGAAGTGACAGTTTGCTGTCTTGCCAACAGACTTCTATCTTCACTTTGCTGTGCGTTGGGTGAGGGGGAAGAAAATGATTTACTAGAGTAAATGGGGTTTAGTACTATCTATGTACCGAAAAAAATCTTATATTTGCAAGTATTGTTCAATCACTTTTGTGGGCTTGGTCTTGCAAGAGAAATATGGTGTGATCTCCACACCAGAGGAAGGCTGTTGAGAGGTCTTGCAGGATGAAATGCTGAGTGTCATCCAGAAGCAGATCACACTCAGTGATCTGAGTGTGCAGTTCTCATCTCAAACGAGATTTTAAGTGGGAAAAGAAGGCAGCAAATTAGGATGTGGGATCTTTGAGGAATTCCACCTACGTGCCGAGTCGTTGTGCTTGTTTAACGTAGTACATTTCCCCCTAGGCTGGAAACTTCCATTCCTGGCATTGGGTCAAGGCCAGAAGTGTGTTCTGATTGACTTTTAATGACAGATATTCCACTGCATGTATGTCCTATCTTTCACTGTGTCATTGGAGCTTTTCATTGGGAGCCTCTGACCTTGTTTGTTCTGTGGTGATACTGTTTGCTCTGCCTCTGGCACCGGAGTGTCTGGAATCCTTTACTGGAAGGATGTGTGTTAGGGAGGCAAAGAGTGAATGCATCACATTGATTAAAAGTACAGTTTGTGACTAGGTTTTGCTACAGAGCAACTACATAGGGCATGCTGTCACTAAAATGAGCTGAATCCCAGGCTGTAATGCCAGGTGAGTCTGTAAAAGCCTGGAAGATTGTGTGCACTTGTGTTTGTGTTGTTGAATGTGCATCTGCATTTTGTTCAAAGCAGTGCCTTGGGTTTTGGTGTTACCTGCTAGAAGTAGAGGAGGTATGAGTACAAGTGAATGCACCTCACTTAATGTTGAAAATAAGCCCTTGGAGACACTTGGGAAAGTGAAAACATTCTATCCCCGTTTCTGGGCCTGGAACTGCAAAAAAGCAAAAGCAGCCAGTAAATGGCAGCATTTATGAGCAGCATTTCCTTGCTTAACAGTAAGGCCTGGGTAGGTTTGAATGTGACAAATCAGTCCCTTGCAATCAGACTTCCATCTTCATTCTTCTCTGTGTTTTTCTAAGAGCTTATTGGTGAGGGGGAAGACAATAATTTATTAGGTATTGATGGATTTTATTACTATGTATGTGCTGAAACAGTCTCACATTTGCAAATAGGAGTCAATCACTCTTGTGGGCTTGGTCTTCCAGAGACATAAAGGGTGGTTTTCCTCTTCAAAGCCACATCAGCCAAGCTCTGTCTTCCCAGGTGTCTCACGAAGATTCCTACTTTGCTGCCACTGGGAAGTGTGTCCTTAAAAGGCCACAGTAAAGTTGCTGTGGAAATTACCAGCAAGACACCTAAGCAAATTACAAATACGAGTGCCCTACAAGAAAAATAACCTGCACAATGTATTTAACCCGTGATGAGATTTCATAGTGTCCAGTTTGTGCATGACAGTTAACTGCTGAAGGCAGAAGCTGTTCTGCTTACTGAGCTCACTGCCCACTTGTAAAACAGCTCGATGGAAGCTGATCATCCTGCCCTGGCAGCGTAGGGCTGCACAGGAACGTGCTGAATCACAAAATTATGGGCTCTGAAGCAAAGAGACCACCAATGTAAATAGTCTCTTGCAATCTGCTTCGTGCTGTGCGTGCTTGCTCTCAAAATGAAGATTGCTGAACCTTCTGCGAGCAGAGACCTGGGGAACACGGTGCAGCTTGTCTGCCTTGGCCCACTCTCAGCCACGCACAGCTGGCTGAGGTTTGGAGAGCCCTGTGTTTGTACACCTCTGAATTCTGCAGGGATTCAGACTTGCAGGAGGAATTTGTAGGTCCATTGGCTGGGATGTGTTTGCTGCTCACTAGGACACCTTAGTGCACACCAAGTACCTAATTGTCAGTGCTTTCCAGAGTTATGGCTCCCCAAAGGGGAGGAAGCAGTCAAATACCGGGAGTGCTGCTTCAGAGCTGGTAGGAATGACTTGCATAAACCAAGCTTAGCAAAGGTAGGAGGGCTCACAGTGTTGACAGCTGGATTTTTCAGATAGCCTTGAAAGCCTTGGTCCTTCGAGGACCAGGGAGTTCAGTTTCCAGATCTAATAGAATTAGGCACTGCCTGTCCTAGACAAATAACACTCTCTACGCAAAATGTTACTGATAAACTGTCAGATTAAATGATATATCCCTGCCCTGTTTGTCTTCTGTGTGCAAGTGTTGGAAATGAAGGATGTAGTTGGTTGCCTGAGGTCATGGAGACCTGCAAAGTTTGGTTTAGGCTGAGGGAAAGACTTCTATTGTTAAAATGCTAACTTAATTTAAATGTTTCATTTTAAAGCTGATAAGCATCCTGAGAAAGAAATCTGAGGACTGGAAGTGATTTACTCTATTCAAAATTCATAGATTGTGAAATAAATATCTAATCTGAAGAAGTCCTGTTATTTTAAATGCACTGGAAATATGATGTGCTTCTCATCTTGCATCCTCTTGATGGTTTTGTCAGTAACTCTCCTGCTATAAGCATCATTTGAGTTTACTGATACAGTAAATCACACATTGAAAATATAATTAAAGGCTCCTAAATGCAGACTCTTTATTAGTATTTTATTTGGGATCGATGTGCCTCCTACAGCAGAGTTGGTTATACAGTGTTGTGAGTGAATGTGCTGTAGTAGGTGTGTCTTGTAGGACTTTGCTGAATTCTGATTCCTCCATTTTGCGTGGTTTGTCTTCAACTTCCGTGGAGAAAAAGTCTTTATATTCCTCAGGGTTTCAACTCCTTTTCCTGACCAGTGTGGAATATGGTGTTTGCTTTGCTTTGTAGGGGTTTTTTTTCCAATTACAAAAAGCTGAGTTTCTTCTAGCATTCCCCATTCCTGTATCTGGAAACAAACCCCAAGGAATAGTGGTGTCCTTTTACACCTTCTCCCACCACCATGTGCTCCTTCTCACATCTTTCAAGGCACTGGGTTAATCTTGCTGCCTGCCCTGCAGCTGGGCCTGGAGCAGTGTTCCTGATGGGGAGCTGTGCTGGCTAAATTCAAGGAATTGTGCTTCCTGGGAGGTTTCCCTGCTTGGTGCTGACCCAGTGTGGTACAATGGCATGCTCCAGTGCACCGAGTAATGATCTCTGCTAGTGGCACAGAGACCAACTTGTGTTGACTCTGCAGCCCTGCCTTGGGTGGAGGGGAGGGAGCGGTTGGGGCTGGCCAAGCCTGCAATGAATTATTCATCCAAGTATAAAGGGCAGATTGAAAGCCTTTGGCTTTTATGGGATGGAAGGCAGTAGTTCCATTTCAGCTCAATGGAGCACTATGCAACCTCCATAAAACTGCTCTGAGCTTTCAGTGTTACGCTGCTTCTCAGAGGTGCTTGCATGGGATGTGGCAATGAAATGCTCTTTTGTTCATCACAAAACTTTCTGCTTGTGCTATCTTTCTTTTATGATTCTGTTCTTAGTTTTTGGGCAGTGATTTGAAACCTCAAGCTACAGCTGCCTCAGAGTCCCCGGCTGTACACCTGGTTCTTTCTCTGGGGAGAGAAGGGCAGTGTTGTTTTCTTCGGAGCAGATCATTAGGAGAGACAGCACAGGTTTCTGATGGGTGTTGAAGGCCTACTTTAGTACCAAGATAGGGGAAAGATGGAAAATTCCTCTCATCTCTTTGGATGGATTGGTATGGATTTCTTTGTTTTGTTGTTGGGTTTTGGTTTGGTTTTAAGGTATTAATTACAACAGTAATAGAAGACCAGGTAAGCTCACTGTTGCCATTTAGTGAAGGCAGATACAGGTAACATTTACAGTGCTGTTACATTCACTTGAGTGGTCCTTGCATGATGTTAAGTAAGTTACACTTGCTCTTAAGACTAATCCTTTGGTAGGAGAAAAAGCAACCTCTATTGACAGTAGTTTGTAGTTTTCTAGAAAAGCGTTTCCAAGCCCTTTTTCTGATGCAAAGTGCTTTAGAAATGCCAGCTCTTTACTTTGGATAAGTGTCCCCTTCGCTGTGTGAGGTGAACTCCTTTGCATCTTCTGCAATGTGAGGTGAATGTGATTTTGCTTCCCAGGTGAAAAATGAGGGCTTTGTCCTGCTTGCATTTGGCTTTTTGGGAGCAGATTCTGGATTGTAGTGAACATGGAGGCACCATCAGTCTTTAGAAATGGGTTTTCAGGCTATGCTGGAAGCCTTGGACTGCATGATCTCTAACAGATGAGAATACTATTAAAAAATACTTAATCTTATTCTACTTATGGGACTTAAATAAGACTTTTCCAGTAATTCTTGTGATGTCTGTATTCCCCTAGCTTCTATATGTTATTTTCCTTTCACGGTGCCTTTGTTCAAGGCCTACCTTTTTGTGTGGGAAACCTGAAACTTCTGGAACTTCTGAACTTACTCACTTTACTTGGCTTTTCTTCCTGAGGAGGGAGAGAGAAGGAAAAGGAGTGGTTGGCAGGGTATTTTAGCTCAGACTTCTCCCTGTGCATTGCAGGAACATTCAGGACTGATTGTTCTGTGTGCTCTCCTGGGGCTCTAGATTTTTTTTTTCCCCCCAACCAGGTAGTTATTGTCATAAATCCTGAGAAGCTGGCATGGATAGGGTTGACTGCCCCTGATCTCCCTAGCCAGGCTGAGCCTATGGATGAACACGTGCTCAGGTGATGGAGTATTGTGTCCCTCAGGAGGTGACAAAGTGACATGGTGCATTCTGCTGGATGTATTGGTTTCCTCTGTTCCAGAGGCTTCTCATGTTTGACATTTTCAGAAACATTAAATCCCCTTTTATTAAAGCAAACCCCGTCTTTTATAACTGACATCACCTGTATGGTACAGCAGGTGTACTGGTCATTAAGGAGCTTCTTTATAACCATGAACTTGTAACTGAAATCAGTTGGCTCTGTTGGGGGTGTTAACACACCGGCTTCTTGTCTAGGGCTTCATTTCAGTCATTGAATACAACTGTCGTGTGAGGTGGGCAGCCTTGAGAGCTGTATCTCTTAAATTAAAGGCTTCTTGCCTTGTTTAGAAGGTCAGACTTGCATTCCTTTCAATTTCAGGAGGCCAACAACACTTCTTGCCTTTTTTTCCCCCTAAACAGTGTTAGATACATCAAAAAGCTATGCCATTCCTGCAATATTTCATCTTCCTGTTTATGGCAGGTAGCAAGTGCAGTGAAATCAGAACCCAGATGTTCTCTGACTCCTTTGAAATGTCTGCTGGTGCAGAGAAATGTTGTGAACACGCTGGACACAGAGGCTGACGGTGATGCCTTCAGGGCAGGAGAGGAAGGGACAGCGGTGTCTGATACAGACTTCCTGAATTCCAAAGCTTATTCTTCTAAAAGATACCCTCTCACCAGTCTGCAGATGTGCTGCATTGCATTATGCTGGTTGTGGTATGCACAAATGAGAGCTCTTGGTTTGGGTTGCCTGTTTGAGAGAATGGGGAAGAGGAAAACTGCATTAGCAGTTGTGATTCCTTATGGCAATAGCAGCTGATTCCCCATGTGCAGTGGAAAGCACTGGACTCTGGGGACAGCACTTAGCAGATCATCCTGAGGCAGTGGCATGGCTTTGTACCCTTTACATAAACCCTGGAACTTGGTCTCCTGAAAAGTAAGTCAGGGATGCAAAGAAACGTGGTTAATCTGTTGTCAGGACCTGGCCGCGTTTGGGTCATGGCCCATGTCTAAATGGGGGAAAGTAAAGGTGCAGATGTTGGTGCTCGGTATAAGGAGTTTATCTTGCAGTGTAAGGAGAAATCATGAATGATCAGAAATCTAAATCTAAGGCCTCAGTGTTCCATCCATCCATCCCCCAGTAGACTAGGAGGAGAAATGGTGATAAGTACTAAAGAAAATAGGAAGGAACTTCAGCCCGGCTGACAGGTGAATACAGACACTGCCTGAGTCTGCTCCCAGATATGGGGCTGTCCACACTCAACACTGGTTTGGTTTCTTTGGCTCCCAAAATATCTTTTGTGGGTAGCTGTGTCCTCTTATTTGGTCTTTTATTGTTAATTCTATATCATGTTCCCAGCAGAAGGAGAGAGATTAATATCCATTGCTTCCTAAAAAACATGGATAGTTCTTTCCTCAGTGGGTCTCTACCAGTTGTCTGGCCTTACCAGTTTATTCAGAGCTTCCTCTAGACACTTGGTGGTGAGGTGTGAGGGTGGGGAGGCCCTGGCACTGGGCCCTGGTTGCCCAGAGAAGCTGTGGCTGCCCCTGGATCCCTGGAAGTGTCCAAGGCCAGGTTGGACGGGGCTTGGAGTGACCTGGGCTAGTGGAAGGTGTCCCTGCCCATGGCAGGGGTGTTGGAACTGGATGAGCTTTAAGGTCACTGCCAACCCAAATCATTCCATGACTCTGTGTGTGACAAGTGGATTCTTGCTGTGTACCCCTGAACAGGGGCTGGAAGTGACAGGAGCAGAAGGTGCCCAGGTGGCCAGTACAGTACAGTCTTTCTTACCTTATTTGTTCAGTTGTTATGAAGTGTGCTGTTGTAGGAGAGCCAGACTGTAGCTTTTCACAGCCACAGTATCCCTGTTGCATGCAATCACTGCCTATATTGTATTGCCTTGCTTTACGTGTGGGCCAGTGGTGAAAGCAAAAGGCAAGGCAGTCCTGGATTTAGCCAGGCTGAATTATGCACAGTTCAGAACACAGATGGATCTTAAGAAGGTCATGGGCTTAACAGTGCAGGCTTTCCAGGCTGCTCTTTATTCTCTGCCGCCTTCCATTTGGCTTTTATTAAGGGATCAAAGAGGTTTCGAAGGAAGATGATGATTAAAGTTTGAAAGCTGATGCATTTAGAAAGAGCCTTATTTTCAGCTGCAGTGTCCAGCTTCAGAAATGCATGTCTTCTGGTGGGGGAGATCTCCAGGGCACGTGAAGTGAGGGTGGTTTTTCCCAGTGCGTAGCTGACCTGTTCCCAGAGCATAACCTCTTCCAGCAATCCCAGACAAGCCCTCTGGATGAAGGAGGAAGCTTCCTGTGGAAATCTCGGGGTGGGGGTTTTTATTGTTCTGCCCCTGGGCACCACTCTCCTTCAGTACTTGTTCCCCAGTCGTGCCAGGAATCTAAAGACTCCAGGGATCAGTGTTGTCCTCAGCTCTGAACCGAAAAGTAACTGCCATATTACTCTTAAAATAAGCTAAACAGGAAAAATTGCATAACTTTGTCTTGAATTTTTAAAGAAGACATTATTTATACTGACTGTCCTGAAGAACATTAGTCTTGTGGCTTCTAGTCTAGACAGGGAGGTAGAGAAACCTGGCTTGGGCTCCTGGGTCTTCCACAGTCTGGCAGAGAACTGTGGCACAGAGACTGGAAGACTTGCCTCTACAGATGGATCAAGTCTTAATTATTTAGTTCTCTAATTGAAGACCAGGTGTTATTTAATTAGATTTTTTTATTTTAGCCTAATGAAAACAGGGCCATTAGAGATTGCCATGGTAGGATTGTGGTAGTTGAAGGATGGCTGAGGCACGTGCACAGGAATGCACCTAAGGAAAGCTTAGAAGCGTGTGTTGTGCCATTTCCAGCAGAAATGTATGAAACCGGTATATTTGTATAAGATTCTCTGTTATTTTCTTTTGTTTCTTGATTATATGAAGTTGGAATTTTACTAGAACAGATACGATGTTTTCTTTAGTGGAGACAAGTTTGCAGAATGAAACTAGGCTGAATAAAAATAGCAATTGTGTACTTCTGCCTTTGTGCCATCACAGGTGGTTGTGGACTCCTTTCTAACTGAATTTTTTTCTTTTTCTAGGTTAAGGGAAATACTGAAAGAAGCCTCTCTCCCCCCAGAGGATCCTGACACCCCGCTGTCAGTTACCTTGGCCATAGTTGAGACAGATTCCACAATAGTCTATTATAAAATGACTGATGGTTTTGTAATGCCAGACCCTCCTGATGATACTGAAGATGGGGACAATAAACAGTGGAGAAAGAAAAGAAAGAAGCTTTTCAAATGATTAGAACAAAACCAAAGACTTCTCTTGAACTCCTGTGCTCAAACCTAAACAAATCCAGGAAGCGATGTGTGTAAATAAGGGCTGTGCTACCCTCTGCCCTGGCAAATCAAGGATCTGGTCAGGGAGAACAGAGGCTTGTGCAGCTGCACTGTAATGAAATGCCATTTGGGGTATGAAATGGGTCATGCTTTGAGACAGATTGATCCTGACTAATAAATGTACTTGTGAGATGTTTCCAGAGCTGGGCTTCTTTCTGTCTGGTCAGGTATACAGCGGAATAAACACATCCTTACCCATCCTGTAATTACTGCTTACAGGTAAATCTGGAGGGTTTCTGGCAGGAATACTGATACCAAGTGAAGAGCTTTGTAGTTTACAATGTCTTTGTTCTTAGCACTGTCAGAAGCACTCATGCTGCCCCCCAGGCTACATTTCTGAACGCTTGCTTGCTTTCCTCTGCTTTTGGAGAAAAGGCTATTCCACAGAAATACTTTAATTTTTTTCCCTGCAGAGGGAAAACTGATTATAGCAACACCACAGGCAACTAAAGCACAAAAGTATGTCACCTTCGGTGGTATAAGTGAACACTAGTTATCTGCTTCATGCACCAAGCAGGTTTCTAAGCCCATTGTCATTCCTAGGATTTATTATTTTTTTGGACATAGCTTTGCCTGTTGGAACTGGCTGCCCAAGAGATGCTTCAGCTAGGAGTCAGTTAGAAGAAACTAAAAGTAATTTTTTTCCTCCTACAGGAATTTTCCACCTCCTTCACATAGAGATCTTCTTCAGGTTAAACTTAAGAGTTCCTTGGCAATCAAATAGCATCCTAGGAGCAGCTTCTTGAGCACAAAAATGTCCATGTGACAGCTATGAGGCCAAGGATCACACATTCAGAATGTGAAGCACAAGAGCTCTTTTTCTGCGTGGGTATAAGAATGGGAGTGAATCCAAAAAAACAAGCTGGAAATGAAAGACTGTTTACTATCCTTGTGACTAGGGTGGATGTTTCTATAGTTGTGGAGTTTGAACCTGCTTTGGCCAAATGTGCTGAGAGACAGAATGATCCCACAAGGGGAGCCTGGGGCAGGACGGCCCTTGCGCCCGTGGAGGAGAAGGGTCACTGTCACCTGGAGCTCTGCATGGCACCTTTTCCCTCATACAGCAAGGGAGGACCGTGGGTCTGAGAGCTTTAGTCATGGAGGAAGGCAAAGAAAAATTCTCTCTCTCTGTGTTGCTCCTCTCATGAAGGAAAACCATCATTTTATTTTGGTCCAATGCCATACTGCCTTAAAAGGGTACCTGTGTGCTGACTCCTGACGTGCTGTGTGTGCCCTTCACATCGATATTTCATGTGCTCTGTGGCTTATTCCATAAAGTAGGTCTTGCAATTCACTAGGCTACATCCCACCAGGTAAATTGTCCTTGTTAGAAGCTGTTAAGTACCTCAGCCCTGCTGTGAGCATGTGCTGGAAAAGAGCTGGGTTTGTGTGACAGAGGCTTTAACAAATGGTGCACATGGCAGAATTTATATCTAAGTGACATGTACTTAACCCCAAAAACAAACTATTTTGCATTTGCTTCAATTTCTGGGAAATGCTGCCAGTTTGCAGTTTGCTGTATGACTGATGCTTGGCTTTACCCTTCATTTTATTATTTCCATGCACAGAAAGAGGAGCATAACTCAAGCTTCCTTTTCTATCCTCTGAAAACTGCTGATCCAGGCTCCAGAAGCTGAGTTGGGGAAACTGTGTCCAGAGGCTTTGATTTCTGTTTCTTCTTATGTCCCACTGAGAAATGATTACATGGGCCTTTTTCCAGCCTCTCTAGATTGTGGTGGTTCTTTTTTTCTGAGGGAAAAAAGCATAGAAGAATAAATAATATTACAGCACTGTTTGTCCCATAGGTATTACAATGTAAACATGGGGATGTTAAATAAGCTCGGAGCCAGCTGTGCTGTTCCTTTACATGCCACTGAAGTATTTCTCTCTGTCAAGTCAACAACATAGACTGGAGCCTCTGGTCTTCCAGGCACTGAATAAAGATGGGGAGAGAATCCCCTTAGAAGTGTATCAGTTCAGAGCAGTTGTGCATTAACGTTCCTGAATCTGTAGTATCTTGGTGCTGTGTCTGACTCTGCTTTAAGTGTTTGTGAGACATCCATGGAGGCATGAGCCATGACAGCTGGCCTTCACACCACTGCAAAGCCAGCTCTTATTTCAGCCCAAAACATTTTACAGGCTACATCTTGCCATCTTTTAAAGGTTTTTTTTTAAGTTTTATTTGCCGAGCACAGCTTGATTTGTTTTACTGATCCCCCTTGACCAACAGCAGGTGACTTAAAATCTTGATAGTATCATTTTCTGTTAGATTATTGTTTCAAGCTTTTTCTCTCTTCAGAAGGATGTTTGCATTGAAGCTTCCCCACCGAGTTAAGAATGACAGAAAAGCAAAGTGATGTTTTGGTGTGGGTTTGGCGGCGAGACTCGATGCCTGGTTACGTAAGTCAGCGCCCGCCTTTGCTTATGCAAACTGTGCTTCCTTGAGGCATTGCTGGCACCATCACCCCAACTCTTGCATTCAGCCTGACTGTTTGCAATGCACACAGAACGTTTGATGTGAAAAAACACCAGTGGAGAAGCAGGGAGCCTTGTCAGATGCATGAAGGGGAGCTGCAGTTGCAAGAAACACACTGCAGCGGAAGGGAGCAACTCCCACTTCCCTGTGTCCACACTGGGCGAGCAGGAGCACGTGTGGCTGTTTGGGCAGCAGCTCCTCTTGTGGGAGTCCCCTTTGTGGCTCTGTGTGTGCTCTGTGTCAGCTCAGTGTGGAGGGACACTGGAGCTTTGGCCTGTCATCCATCCCTGCTTCCCAGGGCACGCAAGGGTGGCAGAGATGGCAAGCAGTGATGAGGTGAAGGTGTGTTGCTTCCACATCCTAAGCAGGATCCCATCCCCTAAAAAATGGCCCTCAGCATCCCTACGAAACACTCCCGTTACTCAGAAATCACTAGAAGAAATATATGGGCTCTTGCAACCCGTTCTCAAGCTGAACAAGGTTTTCCTCAGGATCTCTTGCTTGGACACAACATTGGAATATTAATAACATTACTAAAGCCAAGCAATCTTCATCTTTTTTCTGGGTCAGCAAACCAACAAAGTTTATTTGTTTAATTTAAAACTTTTTTTTTCTCTAATAAGGAATCCATGTGAATTTACTGATCATCCTACCAGTATTGCAGATCCGTAGGAGTTAGATGTATCATAAGTTGTCCCAGTAGTTTCCAGGAAACTAAATGCTATTAACTAGCCTGCAAGTCCTGTTTTCTATAAATGGGCTCATTGTTAACCTCCTCTAGTCTTCCAGGGACCAGTGATAGGACCCAAGGGAATGGCGTGAAACTGCCAGGGGAGGTTTGGGTTGGATCTCAGGAAAAGGTTCTTCCCCTTTGGTGGTTGGCACTGCCCAGGCTCCCCAGGGCAGTGGGCACAGCACCAAAGCTGCCAGAGCTCCAGGAGGGTTTGGACAATGCTCTCAGTAACAGGGTCGGATTGTTGGGGTGTCTGTGCAAGGTTAGAAGTTGGTCTTGATGATCCTTGTGCGTCCCTTCCAGGATATTCTCAGGATATAATTCAGGATATTCTATAATTCTAAAAACAGCTGCAGCTGCACCTCATATTTCAGAGTACCCCAGGGAGCTGATGGCTTCTCTGTTTCTTTCCCTCATTTCTCAGAAGCTCCCACCTAGGTTGGCACCATAAGGCCAAGGAACCCAGACTCACTGCCTTCAGCAAATCAGACTGACAGTCCATTTGCCAGCAGAATTAATGAGCACTCTGACTACTGATTAGTTACACACAGCGTGCTATTTTCAAAGCACCTGACTGACATAATTTATTGCCCTGACAATTTATTGTCTCATTAATCATTCTTTGCATCCCCACCTAGCTACAAGCTTCTCCTCATGTTTCTTGTCTGGCCTTCCAGACAAGTTTGCCAATCCGGAATGGCTCTGCTCATCTTTTTCATGGCTTTTTTTTTTCTCCTTTGTCATTCCTCTAGTCATCTCATTAGCAAATTTTTTACTATTGCTTGCTGACCTCTTGGCCTGTGTTTCATACATAGCTCCACATCCCTTCATTACCCTCAAATTTATCTTTTCATGCTATCTGGGAGGTCTCCTTTCTTTCCAACCTTCCTGTCTTCAGCTGAGGTGCCTGGATGATCCGTGAAGAGCCATCTACGCCTTTCTCTGTCCTAATCCAGCTACCAAATGGTCCTCTTAATTTCACCAGACCAATCCCGTTTACCACCAAAAATTGGGGTAAAATCTGAAGCAAGGTCTTGTGAGCCCTATACCAATATCCAGCCTGCACAGAATCATAGAACGTCCCGAGCTGGAAGGGACCCACAAGGACCATCCAGTCCCACTCCTGGCCCTGCACAGACACCCCAACAATCCCCCCCTGTCCCTCAGAGCGTTGTCCAAACCCTCCTGGAGCTCTGGCAGCCTTGGGGCTGTGCCCACTGCCCTGGGGAGCCTGGGCAGTGCCAACCACCCTCTGGGGGAAGAACCTTTTGCTGAGATCCAACCTGAGCCTGCCCTGGCACAGCTCCAACCATTCCTGGGGCCTGTCCCTGCTCACCCAGCGCAAAGATCAAGAGGCTCCTGGAAAGCGCTGCCTTCGTGGTGCAGGGTGGCTGTCACCCCCCTGTCCACCACCCCAAACACCTCAATGAACCCCCAGCACGGCTGTTGGCTGCATAAATCCGCAGGTGGAGCTGGCTGGAGCCAGCCGGTGGTGTCTGCACCAGAGGGCGCTTAGACACTGCCGAGCCCGAGCCTTCCTGCTCTGGGAAAGCTGCAGCTTTGCAAAACTCCCCTCGCACTTTGTTCCTGGTTCTCATAAACAAAAGGAGGGGGGAAAAAAAACCTGTCAGCAGCAACCCCCGCGATGGCAATGCTCCATTCTTTAATGCTGGAATGACATTGCTGAAACCTAGCTGAAGAGGGACTTTGGACAAGGGATGGAGTGACAGGACAAGGGGGAATGGTTTCAAACTGAGAGAGAGTAGGTTTAGATTAGATATTAGGAAGGAATTGTTTACCGTGAGGGTGGGGAGGCCCTGGCACAGGGTGCCCAGAGAAGCTGTGGCTGTCCCATCCCTGGAAGTGTCCAAGGCCAGGGCTTGGAGCAACCTGGGCTAGTGGGAGGTGTCCCTGCCCGTGGCAGGGA